GAAGAAAATTTGGGAATTTGTATCTGGATTATTCCCTCAAGCTAGTGGGATGAAATAGTATGACAGAGGATGTAAATAAGGAAGGAAACTAATAAGAATATAACACAATCCTCTAATTGCCTAATTACAGGGATTTGGGGATATTTCCATATCTACACTATCTAATTATACCATATTTAACACCCCATTCAAGCTGGAGCATATAAGTCATGCTCCTAGCTTGCCACAAATATAGCCACTTTTGAATCCTTGGAGTGATTTTTGTGAAAACATCTACCCGTTGATCTTTTAAGTTGACAAAACTTGTGGCTATGTATCCAGACTCAATCTTGTCTCGAATGAAGTGACAATCTATCTAAACCATATACGTTCACACATAGCCAATGCCATAACTCGATACTTTGCCTCTACGCTTCATTAAGCTACTGATTACGCTCAACTACACTTCATCCAATTCTAAGTGTAGGCGATTGCATTCTAGTATAAACGAACGAGGAGTTGGGGTAGATTCCACAAGGAGTGATACGATAGAGAATTCAATTGCGAAGTGAAAGACGTGTTCTAGTCGGTTGTAGGAATAGAATTTATCGAAACAATTAAAGTAAGTTGCAGGGGTTGACAACTAGTGTCCAATGGGGGATTAGTTTGTCAATTAACAACTACGTAAGCAGGGGAGTATTCAAGTAGAGAGGGATCCTTGGGATGTGATCGATTAAAAGCCAATGTCGTTGTACGGGTGACTACTATTTACTGAAAACCGTTGAATCTTAGTGGGTAGGCTAGAGTTTGGATGTAATAGCCATCTCTCGATCAACTATCACGATTCAAGTGAGTTCTCTCGAACCTCGACAAGCATAACAATTATGAACAGCCCAAAACCTCAATTAATCTACTCTCTCGAGCTATATTGGTAGGATCGAATTTAAGACTCACTTTCTCAAGCTGAAGCCACAATAACCCAATCACTACAATCATCAATTGATAACTATAATTCTAAAACCTCTTTCTCAAGCAAGCATAGAATACTAGGCTAGAACTGAATTTGCAACTACAATTCATGAATTAAAACTCAGTTATCAATCGAACTCACTTCAAATCGACAATTAAATCACTAATTACTAAGACCCATAAGCTAATTTGGACAATTAATCACATAATCACACCCCAAGAATGAGGGTTTTAGCCACACATTATTAGCAGGAAAATATTACCAACTATGTTCTCCATCAGCTGGTAACAAAATTCGAGTCTTCACAATGCTTGAAATCAACTTAAAATCAAAACCCAACTTAAAATTCTACTCAAAAACTCCAAAATCAGTGTTTGGGATCAAAAACTCAATTTAAGAACTCTTAAACACTCGGAACATTCGCTCAAAATTTCGGAACTCCTTTTCATCATTTAAAAATTCGCATTTATACTCTTCCAGATTTTCAGCTTTTGGACCGATTGGTGGAATTAGACGAGCATCGCCGACTAGGTCGCGATGCGCCAAGGGTCTTTCTTCATTGCCTTCTTGACGTGGCTCTTCACCATTCAACTTCTGTAACTTTAGGCGATCAAGATCCTTATCGTCGATGCATTCGGCGGTTCGCCGAAATGCCATTTCCATCGCCGAGTTGGCTTTTCCCAGGGCTGGCGCGCTGTAACTTTAGGCGAGCTGAAGTACCACTCGGCGAGTCGCCTAGTGGTTTTGGCGATCGTCAGCTTTTCTCTTCTTCAGCTTTTCCGCTCCTTTTTGCCCGGTAATGTCCTTGCCTTGCTCTTTTGCCTTCATAGCTGCAAATTAGCACATAAACATCAGTTTAGAGCATAAGATAGACATTGAGGACACTAAAACTATGAATATTACGCCCTAAATGAGTCGAAATCCCCGACTCATAAGTTACAACATCTTACTTTTTACTTTTTTAGGATATTTGATTGCCTCTAATTAGAGCATAGTAACCTGAAGTGGACCGCCTCTTACAAGGAGATCCGGCCCAATTTGCATCAAAATACCCAATAATGTGGGTGTCTCCCTTGTCTTCATATAGTAAACCCTGTCTTGGAGAACTTTTTGATATATCACAGTATGCGAATCATTGCATTCCAGTGACTCACAAGGTGATTGCAGAAACTGGCTAACTACACTAACATCAAATGCAATGTATGGTTGTGTGATCGTAAGGTAGTTGAGTTTGCCAACAAGTCTCTGATATCTGCTAGGATCTTTTAGAGGCTCCCCTTATCGTGCAAAAAGCTTAGTATTTGGATCCATGAGAGTGTCCACATGTTTGCAATCCAACATACAATGTCTTCCAAATTATTTTAGGTATATTTCCTTTGTGTAATAGCAATACATTGCCAGAGATTGTGCCACTTCCATGCCTAGAAAGTATTTTAGCTTGTCCAAATCTTTATTCTGAAAGTGACTTAAAAGGTAATGTTTGAGTTGAGAAATCTGTCATGATCATCACATGCGATAACAATATCATCAACATAAATAATTAAAAAGATACATTTGCCATGAGATGAATGCCTTTAAAATTTGGAGTGATCAACTTTTGTTTGGATCATTTCAAACTCTTGGACAACAACTCGAAAACGACCAAATCATGCTCTAGGAGAGTGGTTGAGACCATAAAGGGATTGGTGAAGTCTACATATTAGTCCAGACTCACCCTGAACAACAGATCCTGGTGGTTGCTCCATATAAACCACTTCAGCAAGTTCTCTATGAAGGAATGCATTTTTGATGTCTAGATGGAAAAAGGACATGATTGTGAATGAGAAATGTCTGGGTTGTTTCAATTACGGTTGGTTTCATAATGGGGCTGTTCACATGTTCTTTTGCTCAACAACTCCATTTTGTTGAGGAGTATGTGCATAAGAAGACAAGTGTAATATGCCTTGAGATTACATAAAAGAACAGAGAGAAGGGGAGAAATATTCTCAGCCATTATCACTGATTAACTTCTTAATGGAAATTACCAAAGTGATTGTGAATTTCAACACAAAACTTCTAAAAGATAGAGAACTCAACTCTATTATTCATTAAAAATAACCATGTGCAACGAGAATAAAATGATCAATAAAAGTCGCAAAATAATGAAAGCCTTAGGAAGGACTGCCACAATTTAGATGTCTGAATGAGCAATTTCAAACATAGAAGTGGCCCTATTATTGATACGCTTTGGGAAAGAGTGTCGGGGGGGTGCTTATGACTCATATTTGTTTACACTAGATAAACTGGGAACCATCTTCTGCAATATCAAGAGACTTGGATGACCCAATTGATTATGGATCAATCAGAGGAAGTAGCGCAAGTGATAGAAACATGTGGGTGTGGGATGGATATCAGGTACAATCCCTATGATTCATGTCCTTTTCCAATCATTTGTCTCGTACTCCGGCCTGCACAAGAACAAAATTATCAAAAAAGGTTAAAACACATTTAATGCTTTTGGTAAATTTGATAATGGAAATAAGATTATATAGACATCCAGGTGCAAAAAAGTATGGAATGCAGAGGGTAAGCTATACCTATCCCTTTTACTATAATCTTTGATCAGTTAGTCTTAGTAACAGTAGAAAGAATAGAAGGGGAAGTAAGAGTAGGGAGAGTATTTTTGTTACCAAAAATATGGTCAGAAGCACCAAAATCAAGAATCTATTGTTCCTGAGATGAAGACTCTGCGACATAAGCAAAAGAATCACTAGGTTTCATTGTGCAAGCAACTTATGAAGTTGATGACTGTTGTCTTGATGCTTGGTACTGAAGATAGTCATTATAGTTTGCTCTAGTTGAAGTGATAGATTGAGATGATTCATCCCTGACATCAGGTGTGGGAAAACTACCAGCTCCATTATGAACCACATTTGTTATATGTCGAGGGCGATCATTACTGTGTGGAGGCTTACCATGAAGAAGCCTACATTGTTCTCCTTACATCCCCTCCCTCATTACAATGAGTGTAATGTAAGAGGAGAAGTCGCCATTCCTCTCTTACATATCCCTTACTACAATGACTGCTATATTTATTGTTCCTCCGTTTCCCTTTCCTATATCCACCTTGAAAATTGTTAGTTTGAGCAACCATGATAGATGCATCATAGGAATTTACCTCTGGTGGTGCAGATGTGATGCACAATAGTCTGGAAAATACTTCTTCCAAGGTAAGACCAGATAGACTAGAAAGGATCTAGTCACGAACTGAGGTGAGATCTTCTCTCAACCCAATCATAGCCAAAACCATAAAAAACCTGTTGCTTTGTGTATCCTGATCATCCATTTTGTCAGTAAAAGGCATAAGAGAAACAAATTTATATTTCAAGGATTCTACCTGACCCAAATAACTTGCCATGTCTTCTTGATTATGTTGTAGATGAACAATATCTGACACAACTTTGTAAATGAGTTGTATGTCATTTGTGTACAAAGTTGACTTTGTTCCACTTTGCAACAAGTACTACAAGACTGAAACAAATTTAACAATTTAGGATCAATTGAATTTCATAGAAGACTACACAATTATGCATCATTTTTAATCCAAGTCAGCCTTTTAGTTGATGCCATGTCACTAGAATTTTTTATCAAGTGATCATCATATTCTTGACCTATAATCATAATTCTACAAAGTAGCTTAGGAAGAATAATTGCCACTATGATCTAGTTTTGTTGTAGTAATTGTAGGTGATAGTTTGGAAGAGAGTTGGCCTTCCAATATTCTGAATTCCATTGTTTCGGACATGATTTATCACCAAAAGATATAGAAACCAGTAGTAACAAAACAGAAAAAATCTGGCAAATATAAACTCTTTTTTTTTGTTTCTTCGATTCAGTTTTAAAGACTGAATTGCTTCAGGACTTGTGCCTGGGAGCATTTCCTTTCCCTCTCGTTGATCACTTGAACTGCTTTATGAGATGGGACCGGGACCAATTGAGCTTTTATGATCTTACTGGTTTCCTTAACTATTTAAGTGTTAAGAACCTCATGGTTTTCCAATACTCTTCACAGGATGCTCATGAAGAATCAAAGGCTGTCACGAAAGCTACTGCTATGAAAGGTAATCCATTTTCTTGTGGTTATGCTGCTGTGGCATGTGCTGGAAAAAAATGATTTGCATGACTGATATGTTATTTTCTTGTACATAGTAGATGCCCTATAAGCTAGTTCAGCTAAGGGTTGAGTAAGAAACCTTTAATATGATCACTGAGTTATATGACAAATATTTTTCCACTTGATAGTTGAATAGTTATGGATGGTTTAGTTTATAAAGGAGGAAATGGGTGAAGAAAACAATCCTCCAAAGATCTCTGTTGTTATTTTAAGATATCTAGATATAAAGATCTGTTCTAAAACGACATTAAACTAAAAACAATTTTATGAAGGGCTACAAAACCAATTAACCACCCTTCCTTTTGTTTTTTAGATAGGAAAAAACAAAGATAATAAAATACATGTTAATGAATCTTGGCCTAACTCAACCCCAAAAGCTAGATTATGAGGGGAGGGTTGCGCAAGGTTATATAAAGAGACCTCCCATAACTAAATCAGCCAATGTGGAACTCAACACCCTCCACACGTGACACACTAAGCAACAAATGCTACTTGTGGAGATGTCTGCTTACTTGCGTGATTCCGAAGAGACTCATTATATTCCTTTATAGCAATAGGATCATAACTAGGTGGTGGACCATGCAAAATATGATATATGTCACGAGTGTGTCCAAGTTTATGACAATTACTACACTTGGATCGAGATCTACCAAAACGACTTCCTCCTCTTCGATTCTCCATAGGCTGATATGTTCGCTTGTCTATGGTTTGAGTTGTGAGAACAGAGGAGTCAATGGTGGATGATGAAACTACTTTGTGACTCGGAGGCGCAACAAGACGAAGTAGACGAGAGAATAATTCATCAATTGTAGGAATTGTAGGACTAGCTAAAATCTTATCACGTATGATTCAGGAGGAAGTCCAGCGAAACAAGGTCTGTCTGTGCTCTTGTTGTTTTTCTACGTTCGTAGTGACTGACATCAACCTCTCAAATTCCTCCATGCCGCCTGTACTTGTCATAAGTATTTAGACATATCGGATTCTTGTTTCTTTAAGTTAGTCATGCGAGAGATCACATCATAGAACCGAGATATGTCATTAGTGTATAAAGCACGAGCCTTTTCTCAAACTGAATAGCATGTCTTGAATGGGCGAAACAAGGGCATCAACTTGGAATTAATAGATTGTCATATGAGACTACATAATTGAGTATCAACCTTCTCCCATTGTGCTATGCTTTTGCATGTTCCTCACTAGCATTTGTCATTTCATCTACCACACAAGCATTGGTTCTTAAATGGTCTTGGACACCTTGACCCTTGCACCACAACTCAACCGAGGAAGCCCAAGCTAAATAGTTTGAGCTTCCCATTAATGATTTTGAAGTAATCATAGGGCTTGAACTTCCACTTTTGGGGCCAAAAATATCAATCCCGAAAGACAACTTGTAAAAATCAGGCAAAAAAAAATGTTTCTATCGCCGGAAAATCAGATCTGCCACTGGAAAGTGGACAGAAATCAAAGGATTTTTTTTATATATGTAGGGTCAGAATTACGAGGCGACCCCGACTGGAAAAACAATATGCTGAAAAAAGGGACGGAAACAGCCTAAAATTTCCGGAAAAGTGGTTGGAATCGGCGGAATCTTGAAAAAAAAAACAGATCTGATTGCCCAAAAATGGTCGGAATCAGGAAATAATTGTATGGGTAGCCTCAGAAGGGAGAGCCGATACAAATGGAAAAAGAAAAACTGCCGAAAAGTTGCCGGAACTGACCTCACGCGCCGGCGCGTGGTCAAATCTCGTCGGAAAATTCCCACCTCTGATCGGTGCGTGAGGTGCTATTTTCCGGTGGGTCTGACTGGGGTTTTGTCGTCGGAGAGTGAGGGACCCAGTGGTAGTGTTGGTTTTCCCACAACGCTAGCGGAAAGTGATGATGACAAAATTCAATTTCGACCGTCACCGGAAATTTCTGTAAAGGTTTCTCACCATTGCTCTGATACCATGTGAGAAATAAAGGAGAAAATATTATTGAAATTGTGTGTCTACATGAAGACCCTATTTATAGACGCTATATTAAACTCCTTTCTAAATAGGATTCCTATTCCTATTGTAATTCCTATTCCTATTCTAAATAGGATTGTAATACTTAATTCTATTCTAACAACTTTTATGGCTGTCAACAAATTACACGGTGACGATATTTTCTGTCAAAGGTCACTTGTAAATCCATAACGATTACTTTCTCTGCTGGTCTTATACCATGTAGGGAATAAGAGAGGCTGGAGAAAAAAATTGAGAGAATTTGTGAAAGAAGATGTATGACATTTGCGTCTTTTATGTTCACGGCTCACGCTCTACAATGCACTTCTATTACATTTTTCGATGGGGAACACTTGCATAAACTTCTATATATTACATGTAAGTCCTATCTATTTACACAATTTGTGATTAGTGCTTGATTCTAATTATAGGAACCTTATTAGCAATTTCAATGAGTGATGAAAGATATAGGTGCAGTTTCATGTTGAGTAATCATCTTTCTTTGCTTTTTGTTTCATGTTCACAATGGGTTTATAACTATTTTTAACTCATTTTAAGTAGATGTTTCTAAGCGATGAGATTGTAAATGCAGCAATTAAGCAGCGAATGGAAAAAGATGTTGACGAAGTTAGCAAAGTAGCTCGATTCATCAAATTAAAGATTGAGGAACTTGACAAAGAAGTGAGTAACATTAAATGCTTTCATCTCTTAGTTCTGGTACTTCTGTGTTTCTTTTGGTTACAATCTATTTTTCCTATATTGTAGAGTCTGTCCAATAGAAGCAAACCAGGGTGTGGTAAAGGATCAGCTGTTGACAGATCAAGAACCGCAACAACAGTGTAATTTTGAGTGCTTACATCTCTTTTGTTTACTCAATATTTGTTTCTTTTTTGATATGGTCACACCTCGGTGTTATTTTGACATTCGTGGGTGGGTGGGTATCTCTGAATAACTTCTTTTAATGGATGCACAAACTGACTGCTGGCACAAAACAATATATTGGCACATACAGTGGATAAGTTTGAGGGTAGGTCTAGGGTATCTCCGTGCATTTGCTAGTATGACTGTATACTATGTTCTCTTGTCGTACAGTTATGGCATACTACTTAGAGTCGAATTGCTATATTACTACCTTTTACACAAATTGATGTTGTTTCTGTAGTTCTTCTTAGCAGCATATTTATTGTTGGCTTCTGCCTTGTTAAGATCGCATATCTGAATTATATGAACATAATCTTCTGACTCGTACTACAAAAGTAATTACCAATTTATATGCTCATTAAGCACAATTTTTAGTTCTTAAATGCACAGTTCCTAGAGGGTTCCAAACCTAGCCTTCCAATATGAGTGCGAGTCAAGCAAGCCTGAATCCATCCAATGAATGAAATGACAACATATGAAGTCAGTATCTTCCAGTTTGTCATAATACTTAATGTGTCAGAAAAATGAAGCACAATAGTTATGCCTTTTCTCAGGCTTCTCTTCTTTTCCAACAATTCAGATTCTCTACTACTTGTCTTATTACATGTGGTCAACGAGTGAACTCAGCCTATTATCTTTAATTGCAGTTCCTTGAAAAAGAAATTCAAAGATAAAATGTCCGAGTTTCAGGTATGCCAGCTACATTAATAATAGTTCTTTCTCTTCTAATTTTTTCTTGCTTTTTAGGTTTAGTTGATAATTTTTTTACAGACACTACGAGAAAACATCCACAAAGAATATCGTGAGGTTGTTGAAAGGCGTGTTTATACAGGTATTAAGAACAACTGGATTTGAGATTCTGCATCGATTACTTAGAATTTTTATCCAATTGTAACTATTTGCTTTTGGTGTGTATGACAGTGACGGGCAATCGAGCTGATGAAGAGGTGAAGTTATGTAGTGTTGTTGAATTCTTGAAAATGTCAGTTTTCTGTGCACATGTTCTAATGTTTCCCTGTATTTTCTGCTCCATGCAGACAATTGATCGGTTGATAGAAACTGGGGACAGTGAGCAGATATTCCAGAAAGCTATCCGGGAACAAGGGCGAGGGCAGGTATGCTCCTGCTCGGCTGTTTGTGCTATCTTTTTCTGTCAGTAGCTTCACAGTGGTGTCGTAGTAATAGTTCATGCTGTCCTGCTCAGCTGTTTATCCTATCCTTTTTATTCAGTAGCTTCACAGTGGTGTCCTAGTGAAGTCCACATATGACGAAGGGTCATTATATCATGCTTTAACTTACATTCCAAATGCATTGGGTCATGGTGGTTATGCTTGTAAAGCTGACCAATTAGGTTTCTATTTAAACTTCCTGGTTTATTTATGGTCAACAGGACCATCTAGTGCTGTTTGAATTCTGTTCTTTTACTATAATTGGATATTTAAGTAGGGTTTTCATGAATAATACCTTGAAGGACCTGATATTCTCATTCTCTCTGTCCCCTCCCACCAATTATTACCATGTCAGCAGTTTATTGATACAGGGATAGCTCATCTTTGCACAGGTTTAGCGAGAAGGAAAAAGGTTGAGCTAATCAGTAGATAGGACTAAGGAATAATATTGTGTTTGGTTGTAACGGAATCAATAGCTTCCCAACGGAAGCCTCTTGCCGCTAAGTTAAGCAGCCATAGTATTTTCGTACCAATCATGTATTCATATAAATCATTTCCTTACCATTATATCCTTACTTATAACTCTCACACCGCTGGTGTCTTATGTTCTCTATTCCATTTATACTTTGGCTCTCTCGAATTCGATTCCTTCATCTCTCCCTGTGAAAACAAAAGAGAAGAAAATGGTTCATTCTCATCTGATGGAACTATCATAAAGTAAGACACTCATCCAAAAAGGCTAAAAGATAGGATGCATGATTTGACTCGGTAGAATAAGAAACCAAGGAATGGATTTCCAAATTGTTGTAGCAACTTTTACTCTCAATCCTTTCACAAAATTTCTAAGCCGGATGATTTCCTAGCTGATAAAGGTCTCTTTAAATCTCAGGCCCAGTGCCATGTGCTTGAAGTAGTATAGCAGCAAATTACTTATTATAAACAGTAATGTAACGCGTCATACTCGCACAATGTTTTCTCCTACATATATGTTAAACTGTTGCTGGGCAAAAGATGTTGAGAGTTAGGCAATTAATTCGAACTACATGGGGCAGATATCAGTGAGAGGGAGTTATTTGGTTGGTCATTGATGATATTTCAAAATATAGCATTATTTTGGTACTAAATCACATTTTGGCCACCAATCTTTCACAGTCAATAGTTACTGTAAGCAGTTACTCGATCTTGCTGGATGTTTTCTTTCGTTTGCCCTCCTCATTTTTCTTCTGCATAAATTTATGCAAACTTTGGCCTTTTCCCTCTGGCTCTGTTATGTTAGTTTCACTAACCACGGCACTAATGTACCTATTGAATTATAGTAATTAGTTCCATCATCACTGGTTCTCTATGTTACTTTTTTGCAGATAATCGATACGCTAGCGGAAATTCAAGAACGCCATGATGCAGTCAGAGAGCTAGAGAGGAAACTTCTTGAGTTGCAACAGGTATAACACGTATCCCTATGATGAGGGACAACATAACAGCAAAAATCACAGATTCCTAATTGTCAACTAAGTGGAGAGAGAGGGGACAAGGAATGCAGAAAAAATAGAAGAAAAATTGGATTATATTCTTGTTCTGTTCTGTTGAATATATAATTAAATAAATAAAAATATTCCATCTAAAATAACGTAAATTATTAATGAGATGTCACACAATTCAACATGGTTTCAGAATAGATGGAGGTCCTAGGTTAAGTCTCACCGCAACCCATTATTGTTAGGAATTTCCTCAAGTTCAACTCATAAAAAAGAATCAACCTGTAGGTGAAGGGCGCATGCTGAAGATATGATTAAGTAAATAAAAGTGTGTGATTATATATATATATATATATATATATATATATAACATGGGCATGTCGAAGATATTATTAAGTAAATAAAAGAGTGTGTGTCTCTCTCTATAATTATATATATTTATTTTATATCTTCTAATATGGACTAAACATGAGCACAGAGTGCTGAGTGCTGATCGTATGGACTCTCTCACTCCGAGCGTATGTTTCCGAGATATATATGCTCAAGATAATGTCAGTTGGTTTAAACATACACCCGATGAAATAAAATCACAGAAAGGATGGAGTTTTTAAATTTTTTCTCCTTTTTCCAATGGAAGGTGAGACATTGTGGGAAGTGATGATGCCATTATGGAATTAGTTCCTGAAAAAAGACGAAGAAAAACAGGCAGTGATATCCGGTTTAAAATTGACTACTATCTTCGATGCAGATATTCTTGGACATGGCAGTGTTAGTTGATGCTCAAGGGGACATGCTTGATAATATAGAATCACAGGTAATTTCATTATCTGTGTGACCCCTATGCTGATATGGGTACTTTCTTGTTTCTTTGTTGTCTTGCATTTTTTATTGTCTCTATCGTTATGTTTCATTTCCTCATTGTTTGACATGCCAATTGAAATTTATTACCTACCCCTAGCCTGGTACCTTTTCTTTCCTCTTTCCTCTTGTGCATATTTAAATATTCTCCATCTTTATATTTTATTTTCCCATTGCTTGACAATCCAATTGAAATTCATTATATTTGTATGAATCCGACCCTCATACCTACTCTTTTTTTATTTATTTTTGTTGGGAAATATTCTGTGTTTATATTTTCTTGTTAGAAGGCTCAAATATGCGATCAAGCTTTGAGAAAACTCATTTATGTCACCCCGTTAATTGTTGGGATCAATCATGCCGTTACTATTACAAAAAAGGTCCATTCGTGCTATTATGTTTTGATGATCAGATTTGATGGTTCTGTACAACTATTTTTTTCACGTGGGCTCTTATTAGAGGTCCACGTCACCAAAATTAAACTGGTCAAAAAAAGTTCAAATATGTAATTTAACTTTGAGAAAAAAGATTCATCTACACCATTTGTTAATAACTTTGGGTTCGACCATGCCACCATCATTACAGAATGAACCCATTCATCCTACTTTTTAACAGTCAGGTTTGATGGTTTTACAAAATCGTTTTTTTTTAATCTGGCCTCTTATTAAAAGTCCACGTGCCAAAATTAAATCGACCTAATTTAATGAAATTTGAATTTTAAACCTGATCCATTATCACCATACACGACTTACCCTAACCCATTTCCCTTTTATTTCTCCCTCAGACCCTTAGATCGACAATTGGCAAGAAACTGCCAGATGAATTCATCATTATACATAGTAGAAGAAAAACTGGGTTCAAAATATTAATTATATAATATAATACTAAGCAAACAAGAAATTGACACTGAATTATGCTAGAAATGGTAGGGGAATAAGAAGCAAAAAAAAAGAAACTAACTTTACTACTACCCAAGTGAAATTATGGAGTTCAAGATCGAACCCATGAGTGTAATCGCAATTAGAACCCCATAAAATCTCTTTGGAACTCCATACAGTAAGAAAATAAACTAGGAAAAAAAAAACTTACGGTAGCCAATGAAGAAGTGATGTAATCAAGAAAAATGGGGTTCTATTTTGGAATAGTGAGAGAAGAGTGATAGAGCTTTGTGTTAGGAAATTGAAAGATTAGGGCTTGTAAGCATTGGATTTTTAAAGCTTTTGTAAGGGAGTCAAACATTAAAAAGGGGGTTTGGAGGAGAAAGAAAAGGAAAATGGGTTAGGGTGGGTAGGTGATCACCCCCAAAACTTGCCCTATAGAGGATAAGCGGTCGTTGCAAATATAATATAGCTTTCTTTGTGACCGGAGTCGATCCCACAAAGACCTATCAAAGCTTTCTTTTGTATCGCTAAGAATAATTTAGTAATCAATTTCTCAAGGTTTAATATTTTGATTCTTTTCATTATTAATTTAAATAAGAACTAAGACAAATATAAATAATTAAGCACATAAGTAATGTATGATTTTCTTTTAGAGGAAAGCTAGGTTGATGATTTCACTGTCCGAATCTTTGTTGCTCGAACTCTTCAAAAATGCCAACAGGTGTGTCAGATTCGCCAAAAGTAGTGTATTTTTGGAGAATCCGAGACGGGTGCAGCATCAAAAGTGAGAGTCCGCACAACTAAGATCGGAATAACTTAGAATATGCACATTATAATCTTGTCGAGTTATTCTCTATCGACCATGAACCTTTAGTCACTATAATTGTTTCTCAGCGTATAATAGTGATTTTTTAGAGCTATTCTCTCGAATGAACTCTAGCTAACCGATTACTCTATTCAGATAGATCGCACCAAAGTTGTTATCTCTAACTTCCACTTTTAAATCTCGGTCATAAATCTCTTAATAACTCAAAGTGGTGTTCAACTTAAAAACCTAATCTCACAGTCTCTCTCTAGAAAATAAAATACCACAACACTATTTATTGAGGGCCCTTCAATTGGCTACAATAAAATATAGTCGAATAAATAGAGATAAAGTAAAACGACTTGATTATAGTAAAACAGAATCACTAGTTCATCCAATAATGGGTTCTATCAATCATCCTGGAAAATAATCTAGCTACTCATAGTAGAGTTTAAGAACATAGCATAGATTGCCATAACGAACTAGTAAAAGAGTAGAAGAGAATGAAACTCTATGTTGAATTCCAAGTTATCAGCTATTCTCCTTCTTGCCTCTCAAAAGCTGCGTAACACCTTGAATATCGAGTTAATACTCTATTTATACTGCACATATTTAATCTGTGGATGAAAATAACCTTCGGCCAAAATAATTAGACCCCGTCACATTTTTGTCGTACGCTTTGCGGGCCAGATAGCATGGCCGCTCCGCACACGGCCAATGTTCAGGAGCTACATTTGTTTGCTCTTCAATGTCCGTTTCTACTAGCAGAGCGGGCCTGGTAGCGTGGTCGATCAGTGCACGGCCAAAGTTCAGGAGTTGCATTTGTTTGCTATTCAATGTTCCTTTTCAACTAGTGCGGAGCGGGCTTGGTTGCGTGGCCGCTCCGCGCACAGCCAATTGTTGTGTTCTTCAACTTTTTCTTCATTTTTCAAAGACCTTTAGCTCAATGACTCTCGGATGTGATCTCGATCATTCCAATGGACTTATATTTAGATGTTAAAGGTCTATAATAAATCTATATTTGCTCCAAATATGCATATTAGCTCTTACAAATCTCTTATCCAAAGAAACACACGTAAGAAGCACATAACAATAATAATAATGATCAAGTGAAGACAAAAGAAAACATATGAGACCTTTACAATGATTAAATGTATGTATTTTATGCCGAATATTAGTCGGGTATGGTGTTAATGAATTGGATTTTAATTCCGAATTTAACTGTTGTGGCATGGTTGAACCCAACTATTAACGAATGACATAAATGAACCTTTTTTCAAAGTTGGATGTCATATTTGAATTTTTTTTTACCAGTTTAATTTAGTGATGTGGACCTCTAATAAGAGGCCATGTGGAAAAAATGGTTTTGCAAAACCACAAAACCTGACCGTTCAAAAATAATGGCACGAATAGGCCCTTTTTGTGACGGCAGTGTCATGATTGACTCCAATTATTAATGGAGGACATACATGAGGGTTTTTCAAAGTTCGATGGCATATTTGAGTTTTTTTCTTATTTTCTTTCATCATTGCTTGACAATCCAATTTTCAGGTTTCAGCTGCAGTTGACCATGTGCAATCAGGGAATACTGCTCTACAAAAGGCAAAGAGTTTACAAAGGAATTCAAGAAAATGGATGTGCATTGCCATCATCATCCTTCTGATAATCGTTGCAGTCATAGTTGTTGGCGTGCTCAAGCCATGGAACAGCAACAAGGGTGCTTGAATTTTTCACCCTGATAAAGCGATGTATAAAATACAACTGCAAGTTACTGAGTTCTATCTCTGCAAACACTTGGTCAATTACAGCCTTCCTTAGTTGTGTACTTGTGGAACCTAAAACTGTCTACTTCAAACTTTGAGTTTGAAACTGTCACTGAGATGTATTATTTTAATTATTTACAAATCTGTTTCTTTTTCTTCTTTATTTGGGGGTTAGTGTAACGTCAGTGCATACTATAACTCATTTTACTGTAGCTAAGATGAGTTGCATGTTGGTTGTACTGTTCTACCAGTGGCATGGCAAGTGATTGTGTTTGCTTTTGGTGGTGATGATCACACTGTAAACTCCAACAAGGTTACGATATTCATGGTATGGTCTTTCATGTCGAATTAGTTCGTCTATTATTTACAATATTTGTTCTATTCCATGTAGTCAATGTGTCTAATTCTTAGTACGGATTTCTCCTATTTCGCGGTGGTCTTCAATTTTTGTCCTCAAATATGATGTTCTTTATTTTACTACTACTGCTCATTTAATGATAATTTGTGGACTAAAGTACTTTATCTATGATCTAATTTTGCTCAGTATAATTTTAGAGAACTTTTGCTTTGTCCGACCAAGTTTTGTAGGAATTGAGTTATCCGACATAAGTTGTGTAGTATCTAATTCATTCGACATAAGTTTAAAGAGTGTTTGCCCCATTTGACATAAGTACTGTCTAATTCTTATATTCTGAAATTGAACTTTTTGTCTCACTCGACATAAGTTCTGTAGGAATTAAGTTATGTATCTTATGGCATAACTTGTGGTTTTCGAAATTGAACTTCTGCCTCACTCTACAAATGTTCTGTAGGAATTAAGTTATGTATTCTACGACATCACTTATGGGTTTTGAACTAAGCTTTTGCCTTGATTTGTAGGAATTAAGTTATGCCTCTTCCAATATAATTTTTGGATTCTGAAATTAAACTTTTGCCTTGCTCGACATAAATTTGGTAGGAATTAAGTTATGCCTTTTTTATAACATAGCTTATGGGTTATGAATTGAACTTTTACCTCGATCTGCATAAATTTTGAAGGAGTGAAAAGGAATAACCTGTGTTATATTATACTATACGAAAAATTTCAAGCAAAATATATTTATTAATTTGATGTTGGGTAATTATAATTACTTTTTCTGTTACTTAAAATGCTGAAGGGCAAAAATTATAGAATACATATTTGAGGGTCAAAAATTAAAATCATTTCAAATTAGCGGCATTTGTGCAAATGACCCCTCTTACAGCAGCTGATGTAATGATCCGGCCCCGAAAGGTTATTTTTGATAATTTTGAATAGTCATTTAACTATAGTTAATTAATTTGCGGGTAATTTGGTTATTGTTAAAAATAATGGGCCAAGCCTGAAATATTAAAATAGGTTAGTATGAAATTATTATTGTTAATACATAGTTAATTTTATAAAAAAGATAAAAATAAAGAGGAGCAGAAAACTAACCTGTGTGCGGCGTGAACACGGATCAACAGAGGGCAAACTGCTTCACGTAAGGAAAATTCAACTGATGCTTTCAAATTCTGCCTGCATTAATTGCTTTGCTATCCTTTCAGTAATTGCTGCACCTATATATAAATATATAATAATATTATATTTCTATTTGGTTATATATAGAACGATAATTAGTGGTTGCCATTTTGGCTCTTAAAAGCTAAACAGCAAATCTATTTATGGGTTGTAAATTTTGATAATTCTAGAATAACTTGTGATTGGGTAATTTGAGTGTAAATTGTGGGACGGTTGACGGCAGAAGGGTTGAAGCAATAGGGTGTTGCCAATGATTGTTTAGCTACTATTGGATAATGATTATCCAATGATTATTATTAAGGGACTTTGGTTTGAAAAGAAAAACAAGGAATCAAATTGGATTCCTCTTGCTGCTACAACGACAGTTTGCTGGGAAGTTACTTATAATTTTCTTGAAATTTCTTTTTGATTTCATTGGAATTATGTTATTCAGAGGAATTAAGATTTAACCTTAGGCTTGAAACTTAGGAACTTAAATATAGATTTGAGTAAATTTTTGGATCTAGATTAGACACATAATACTACGAGTGTTGTTAGTTGTGAAATCTTATTGTGATTACTTATTTGAATAGATTGCATTTATCTGGAAGTCCAATGAAAGGGGAAGACTCAAGTCTCGGAGTGATTGTTCGACTATTTGAGGCAAGTAGATTTCTAAACCTTTGTTAAGTGTATGAAATTCATGTATTTGCTTGTAATATGTGTTTGAGGGTAATGAGACTTGGTGATGTGTTGGTTTGTCCACATTGATTAATTCTAATGATGAAAAAGGGATAATAAAAGACAATGTGATTAATTGTTTGTGTGTGATGTGTTGAGAATGGTTTGAATGGCTTGTTGAATCATTGTTGATGTTGTATCATAATTGTGTTGTTGTGAATTGTGCAATGTTTGAAAATGACCATCTCCTCATTATTTGTGTAACATGTCATTTGCATTGTTTCTGAGACATGGTTGTGACAAGTGTTGTGTGAATTGAGAAGTAATAAGAAATTAAAGACGATGCACCATTTCGAGGGATGTATCGCGCGGCGCGATGGATACTATATTTCGAGGGACGTGTCGCGCGCCACGACAAATACTATATTTCGAGGGATGTATCGCGTGTCGCGATGATTACTATTATCGAGGGTCGTATCGTACTCCATGATAGATGCATGGACAAATATGTCCCCCATGGGTCCTGGACTGTGAGACAACGGGTGTGTATCATTAGGTCAGACATGCATCATTATACTTGACATTGCATTTCATTGCATTGCACATCTTTATCATTGGTGAACTTGATCTTGTGTTCTGGTGAACTTGATCATGTGTGTTGCTGATCTTGTGAGTGCCTTTCTGTGGAACTTGTGATTGATGAATAATGAGTTTGTTGTTGAGGATATGTAATTGTTAGAGTGTTATTGTTGACTTGTGTGCTTTGTAAATTGTGAACTGTTAGGTTGGACTGATTTTTATGTAGGTTGTAGTTGTGGGAGTTCGGTTGGGGTAGTAGGAGTACCCGTATTCTATTCCCTTAGCTTGTGTTTAGGGGTTTACTTGCTGAGTACCGTGTGGTTTGGTACTCACCCCTTGCTTCTACAATTTTTGTAGGTTACGAGCCTGGATTTTGTGATACTTTCCATTCTCTTATTTTCCGAGGCTTCTTGGAGATTTGTGAGGTAGTTGTTTGTCATCTCAGCGGACCTTCTTACTCCTATTTATGATCATGTTCTATTCTAGAAACAATGTCATTTGAGGCTTGTGTTTTTCTTTTTCTTTTGAATCAATTGTAATACTTTAGAGGCTTGTACATGTGACAATCAGGTTTTGGGGGTTTTATTAAGTTACTTATATTTTATTTCCGCACTTTATCGTAATGGTTGGGTTTTAGGTTGACTTGTCTTGGTGGGATAAGACGAGTGACATCACGTCTATTTTTGGATTGTGACAGTTGCCAACCCTTGTGATTATCCCCGAAGCCTTGTCAATCATTATGGGGTCGTTGGATGTTATTTTAGAACAATTAGTCTTAAACATAAAATCTCGAAAAAAGGATTCTTTACATAATTAATATATTTTATTTGATTAATTACGCTTTTAAGTGTTACTTTATTTTTATTACCATATATGATATAATTTTAGCTTTAATAATCATTTGATATAAATTTGTATTAAAATTGAGTTCTGAAAAATTGTACTAAAGTTGTATCAAAATTGTATTAAATATAAACAATCGGTGATCTAGTGATCGTAATTACGAAAAAAGAAGAAGGTAAAGCTCTGAAAATCTATATTAAAGTTGTATACATATAAACGATAGTTGTAATACAATTCGAATTCCATATTATACATTACTATAAATTTGATAGTTATTATTCCATAACAAATATAATACAGGTCTAACAATGTAAACTAATTTAAATAGTACCAGAATGTTTGAAATTCACATATACTACTTATAATATATTTGTATTAAAAATGTTTTAGTTATATATTTACCACGTGCATTAAAATATGTCTATATATAATATGTATAATATATTGAATTCAAAATGTATTATAACTGTTGTTTATTTTTTCTCTTATTAACTGTACTAAAATTTGTTATTGTATTAGAAATGTTTTAGTTATATATTCACCACGTGCATTGAAACATTCCTATAATATGTATTATATATAGAATTCAAAATGTATTATAATAATTTTTAACTTTTTTCTCTTATTAACAATGTTAAAATGTATTAGTATTGTATTAAACATATATTAATTATATATTCACCATGTGCTTGAAAAATGCCTATAATATGTATAATGTATTGAATTCAAAATGTATTACAAGTATGATTTATATTTATTTATTTTATTAATGACGTCACAAAAAATCTTCATATTTGAATATCTTCAAAATAAATAAATTTTAGTCTTCACTAAACATCCTTAAATATTAAGATATAAGTTTCAATTTTTTTAAAATTATTTATAATAATACCAATTCAAAATCAAGTCTTAAACTAAAATAATTGTTTTCTTTTTTTTAAAAAAGGGTGAAAGAGAAAGAGAAAGATAAAGAAAGGGAGACAGAAGAAAAAAGAAAAGAGAAGAAAGGAGAGAGAGAAGGGCGCACAGAGAAAAAAGAGAGACTATTATATGTATTTAGTTAATTTTGGTAACAAGAATAGAGTGTAAGACTATTATATATGTATTTAGTTATTTTTGGTAAGCAAAATAAGGTTAATTTATGTAAGAGTAAAAGATATGCTATAACTCATAAATAAGGATATATAATACATTATCTATGTAAATAGGCCTATTTGGTTTATATAACTATAGTTAAAAAAAAATAAAAAAATCAGCTATATTATCCATTTAATAGCTATTTTTTAATTTAAAGAATATCTTGTAGGCATTTTATTTATCAATTATTTCGCTTTCCTTTCTTTTCTCTCCAAATTAGTATATAATCCTAAATTAACATTATTCTTCCCTCTTTCGTGGATGAATTTTTTTCATGGATAATTTTTTCGAATTCAAACTTAACGATGTTGTGTTTTCTCTTCTTTTCTCTCGCAAAGTGTCTCGTCATTTGTTCGTGATTCCTCTTCCTCTGAGGCTCTAAAACGTGAATCCTCTTCCTCGAAATATTTTTTTAGGGTTTCAGTTGAACCCTTTGTTTTCACGATTATAATGACGAATAGTAGTACTTTGAAGGGTTACACGAGGTATACCCTTCTCTAATTGAGGCTTTGTTGTTGTAATAGCAATTTTACTGAGAACAAAGATTCACAATAACTCTAAACCAATGAATCTACCGAACAAGAGTAAG